GACCAAAGGCTGCGCATCTGGGACCGCAGGGGTCCATCGTGAGTCACTGACGGTCATGCACTGGAGGGGAAGCGTTGGCATGGAGACTCCAAGCCGCCCATTTAAAAGCCTAGAAAGGTGTTTTTGTCCAACCGCCTGGAGGGGGAGCCGTGAGTCCTCGGGCGGCCGGCCAGGCTCTGCAGGCGGCGTCGGCGTCGGCGTCGGCGTCGGCGTCTGCCGATTCAGGGGGGAGGCAGCGTGGGGTCCCTTCGGCGGCGAGGTTGGGCTGGGGCTCAGCGTTTGGGGCAAGCGAGGCTAGGGAACCCGCCGCCCAGGTTGCTTTGCTAGGCTCGTATGGAGACCCACGCTCTGCGTTTGGGCTCCCGCGAACTCCGTAGCGCAGCACCTCGGCCGCGTCTCCTCAGCAGTGGACCGCAATGGAGTCCCGTAGAAGTTACTCCCACGTAAACGTGTGCGTACAGGGTTGCGGCCTCGCACCTCTTCTCCCCCGGTGTTCCCAAGTGCGAAACCTAAGGAGGAAAGCAGCGCGCTTTCGCCTGAACGAAAACTTCCCAGCCACTCGGGGAAGATCGAGCTTGGCCGCGCTTTCCTGGAAGCCAGTTTCGCTCGGCAGGAGTGGCAAGATCTGATTTTTCTTTCCCTCCGTAACATACTTAAAAGCCGAGGAGGAAAACCTTTCGTATTGCTCAGCCTCCTCGTCTGGAAAAGGCTGCAGCTTTGAGGCCTTGAAGTGCAATGGGATCTCCAAGAGGCGTGACTTCCTTCCTCCCAGCGCGGCGTTGTTTGGAAATAACCGAGGGAGGCATCCTGTTGAAAAAGTTACACGGGAGAGACCGTGATAAAGTTACCGCAAATCCCCTAGCATTGATCGTTTTCGCTGAGTGTTTCCCACCTCCTTTTCTGCTCCATCACTTGTGTCTTCAGTATCGAACAATAAAGAGTTTGAGCCCAGTTTTCTTTCCAGTGGTTTTCCTCTTTGGCTGTTAAAACACTTTGGGCGTTCAGAAAAAAAATTAGAAAAAGGCCAGATGGCCCTTAAAATAATACAAATGCGAGAGTAGGTCCAGACTGTATTAGGCCACAAAAAAATAGAACAAAACAGCTAGCTTTCCATGGTAATCTTAACTTTCTCGGGCTGTGCAGTGAGATTTTGTGGATAGTTCAGAAAAAATATATATAAGAGGGTCCCAAAAATTCATCGTACATAACTGTGCTGGGTCAGCTTCTTAAGGTGAGTTCAAATGCTGGCTGTAAATAGCTTTGAGGGGTGGTGCTTGCAGATTCCACCCCAGGTAGCATTTGGGTGGAATTTCTCTCCCAGGTCTTCAAACACAGAACAGCCAAATAACCTCTGCCCACTTCCCTTGCTTGTTTTTGAAATGCAAGGTTCCTGTTCAGCTGGGACAGGAAAAAGCAATACAGAAACATGGCAGCTTCTATCTATGTTTTTTCCACAGAATCTTGGTGCACAGCCTGAGGATGATGGATTACTATTGAAAGTTAGCTGTTTGATTGATTTTTTTGTTGGTTTGTTTGATTTTGCTGTTGCTCTTGCTTCTGCATTTGGTCCTTACGCTACAGTAAGCATGTATAAACAATTTAAACATGAAGTAGGGCAAGGCCCTTGATTCTCCACAGTAAAGCTATTTTGAAATTCAGATTTCATTCCAAAAGAAAACAAAATCAGCTTTTCTGTTGTTGTTGTTGCAGCCATGCACAAATCACATCAGAAAAACAAGAAATGCCCTCACCAAACCCTTGTGCGTGCACACATTGACCCTTGCTAGTCTTTTTGAGGATGAGGGTCATGTGGGAACTTTGCTCCTCGTAATGTTAACTCTGTTTGCATTTTGAGCAAATGAAAGGTACGTTGCAGAAGTTTTAAATGTGTCATATATACTGGTTCAAACTTTGTGTGCTTTCTTTCTTCCTCCCTATTCATGTGGATGCTAAAATAATATCTGTAAATGCAGGTTTCTAGGTAAGTCATTTAACATATGTTAATTGAAGGCTCTGGAATATTATGTTTTGATTAAAATTCTGAGTTCTTGAATAATAGAACCTGGTTTTAGACTGAATTCAGTCCTCAGAAACAAGTCACAATGATTTTAATGGTGCTCAAGGAAGTATGTGTAAAATGGCACCATAAACTCAGTCTAAGCAGTTTTTTATATAAATATGCTTGTTTGATATAGTTTTTTAGAATTTGCTTTGAGGGCTTTTCTCTTTGATTATATGTATTGTTATTTTGCTTGTTGTTGTTTGTCACCAATCACCTCCAACTTATGAGTGACTGATCTCCAAGAGTCCTGTCTTTTCATCAAGAGCCCTCCTCAGCTCTTGTAAACTCAAGCCTGTGGTTTCCTTTAGGGAGTCAGTCCATCTTGTATTGGTTTTCCTCTTTTCCTGCTGCCTTCCGCCTTTCCCAGCATTGTTGTCTTTTGCAGAGAATCTTTCGTTCTCATGATGTGTTCAAAGTCGAACAGCTTCAGTTTCAACATTTTTGCCTAAAGAGATAGTTCAGGCTAGCCTTGCTGTAGAACCTACTTGTTTGTTTTTCATTGCTTAGATCCAGGAAAATCACAGAAACAGGGGATAGGGAAATTATGGAGCAGGGTTTATTGTTGCACTGTGAACCTACCTCATGCTGTGTACTTCAATTTCCCATGATCTCTCACCACCAGCCATATTAGATGGAGAGGATTGGTTAGATTGTAAAATATTTGGACCACACCAAGTTGAAGAAGGCTGTGTTCAAGTTTCCTTAACCAATTATGTGTGAAATCAACAGCTAGATTTTTTTTCCAGGAGAGGACTGCTTACCTATTTTTAAACTTTCGTATACAAGCTGAAAGGCCAAGTGTGTACATTTCAGAGAGAGAGAGAGAGCTGGGTTGACTGGGATACTATTTAAAGCAGCTGGATCAGAAATAGAAAGCACATCTGGGGAGTAATCTTTAATACACCTTAATCAGTTTTTTGTAGACAGAGTACTTAACAGGGCAATCTTATGATGGGCGTTGCTTGCCATTTCCAAAACTTACTCTGCTGAAATGGGATGTGGTGCAGCTTTGCTGGACTTTCTAACGTGGCATGTTTTACTGCAAATCAACAGTTTTTAAATGGCATTTTTGGGCTAGCATAGCTGAGGGACAAGTTTCAGGAATGGAAGGCTTTTGTATCCCTGCTGTCTCTGTCCTCCAACCATCTCATTTCAGACTCTACCACCACAAGCGCCACCTCTAGTTTTTTCCCCACCAATTTAATATGTGGGTTCAAGTACCTGCTAACAGAACCTGTCTACTAGTGGAAGTATATATTTGATGAATTCAGCCTGCCAGCAGCTTGAGGGGCTGAGGATCAGCTAGAAGCTGTTCTGCAGAATATCTTTTCTAAAACCCAAAGCCTGAAGCAAAAGTTGTAGTGTGCATATCTGCTTTAATTATACATTTAGAACTAAGAGTAGAAAAACTTGTACATACTTTAGACTGGACTTCAACACACTTTAACATGCAGTCCTATTTTTTTTTCCTTTCTGTCCTCTTCATCACAATAATCCTGTAAGGAATGGATGAGGGCAGTTGGGAAAAAGTGTCAAAAGCAATTTTATAAATAAAGTAACAGTTGTTGAACTGATAGACTCTGCATATAATGTTAAACTACAATTTAATGCTGTAAGAGAATGAACACAGCTGAGTATGTCTTGAATAGGAGACCATCAGCTCTACATGCAGCTCCCTTTGGAAAAATGTTTTGAAACTTCAGTGGGCCCAAAACACTGCAACCAGATTGTTAACTGAGTATGTAATGATTAGGGAGATTGTTAACTGGGGCTGGTTACAAGGATCATAAAACCCCACTGTTATAGCAGTTCCACCAGCTGCCAGTTTGTTTCAGGGCACAACAGAAAGTGTTGGTTTTAACCTTTAAAGCCCTTAACAGCTTGGGTCCAAGCTATTTCAAAAACTGCATCTTACTTTATTATCAGGGAGGCCTTTCTTTCAGTCTTTCCACTCTCTCAGGTGTGCTTGGTGGGGACCGACTCTGGAACTCCCTCCCACTGGATATCAGGGTGACCCTATCTTTACTGTCCTTCCACATGCAAGCAAAGACCTTTCTCTTTGGGCAGGGTTTTCCTTAGTGACTGTCTAAGTGAAGTTTTTAAATGGAATGGTTTATATTTTTGTTGCTTTTAAATCTATTTGGTAATTCTTTTTAACTAACATTTAAAATATAATGTTTATTTAATTCTTTTAAAAGATTTGAATAACTTACTGTTTTCTGCTTTTAATACATTGTTTTAAATTATGCAAGCCACCTTGGGTTATTTTTTTAGGAGAAAGTTGGGGTAAAATTATATTAAATAACTAAAATAAATGATGTCAGGGATCTCCAGGTAAGGCAAAGAAAGAAACCTGTCTGAATTGTTGGAAAACCATTGCTCCCATTCAGAATTTGATCTTGCCCTGTCTCAGTAATAAGGCAGTTCCCTGTATCTCTGTTATGTGCCATAGCTTGAATGGTCCAATGGGAAGGTATATGGCTGGGAGGAGGACTTTTACCTGCCCTGTTTATTAATTGATCAGAATTTGAGTTTCTCCACTGTCACTTGCTCTCCGGTTTGTTATGAAATCTTTTGCTGAAAGTGAATTAAACACCATAAAAGCTATCTTCCCAGCCATGCAGGAGCAAGAAAAGGAAGGAAGAAAGTTCATGAGCGTCTAATCAGGCTTGTTCAGGCACATGTGTATATCAGGAACTCTGGTTATGTGTGAAGCATCTGATTGCTAAAATAATTATCCAAGTCATTTCTGGGTGAAGTGGTGACATATATATTTAGAGAAACTAGGTCTTATATTTTCCACACAATTTCAAAACTGGCTTTTGTTTTTCAAATGTTAATGTGAGGACAGATTCTTAAATATATTTCATTTTCCCCCCCAAGTGTTGTAAACATTGAAATATGCACATAACCTGAGAGCGATGAGTTTAAATATAGATTGTAGAAGTATCTTTTCAAAAGTATCTGGGACAAGTAGCTTTCCATTCTGCTTGAGTTGCCAGTTCTTATATGGCTTATGGTGACATCATTGTTACACATTGTTACGAACACATGTCTTCAGGGCAACATTAGTAACCTTTTGATTAAGAAATGTAAGAAAAATGCCATGAGGCGATATAAAGTTGGTGATGTGTTCCATTTCATTAGAATGTTGAAGGAACTATTTGTCTAGAATTTGTTTTGATCCAGTTTTCTTCATTGCAACATGAGGTTTCATGTTGTCCAAGCTAGGAGGAACAGACTGAAAGCAAGATCCAGAGAGTTATCCATTAGCTTCTGTAGGTTTTGATTTCCTTGGTAAGCATTAAGCAAAACACTCTGAAATTATTCCAAAGTTCCTCTTGAGTTCTTTTTCATATGTTTAACAAAGGAAAGAAGGCA